AATAGCACGGCTTTGATACCACTCTGTCACACCCCGGATTCGGAAGGCGGTGCACCTCGGCAACACGAGACACATTAAGGGATAAAAAAATATGTTTCGTGTTCACAAAGAGAACATGCATATACAAGCAATACAACCATGCATCAGAGCAAACAGATGAAGTGAAATAAAACCAATTCATTAATAGAAGTTAAATTAACTAATACATCGAAATGTTGTAGTTCTGATACAAGCCAACATGAAAATAAATATAGCAAAAACAGGAAAGAAAACTACCCAACCCACATAAAATATAAACATAATAAACTACTACAAAATAATAAATATCAAATAACAATTTATTATTGATAACTCTACTCCTGAGGTGGCGATACACCAAACACGCCTGCAGAACCTGTTGAAAAATACAACATGCGAGTTTGATAAATCAAACTCAGCAAGTAACTACTATCTATCAAAGCATAAACGACAAAGGAATGGGGCATGCAACATGGACAACCAAAGGGTAGAAGTAACAACATAAAGAGAAGAGTAGTAATTTATAATCCCAATTCAAAATAGCCATGAGATATGTCATATTTTCAACAACATAAATCTAATATGCTAGTGACATTACTGTATGCGATAGTTACTATCAATATAATTATTTTAAATGCAGAAAATTAAATCAAATAGGTATCGTTATACCTCAAAATGACCTACAGTCATTTATTAATTCAGATTCATGTTTGCTTGTAATCTCTTACATTCAAATATATATGTATTGTCGATTTATCATATACCCATCACCAGGAATGTAAACACCAACCCAAGAAAATCCAAAGATTTCTTTTAGAGCCGTCACTCTGGGGCTCATCGACCCCAGCTACACAAAACCCAATAGGATTATATGACATACACATAATCATATAGAGTAAGTGCTGTTACAAATAATCAACATGTGTTATGTAATTTAACATAACAATTACCATATATAAAATCAACATAATTTATAGCATGAGTATTATGTATTGCAATGAATAAAATTGATATGATTTGCCAAGAAGATATTTATTGCATTCAAATAACAACATGCATGAAGATACAAAATTTTATATACATGAAGTTATACATCAATAAATCACAAAATATTCATTTTTTTTAATGAAACTTGCTAATTTATTATGATCAACAATGAAGATTTACTACATGATGCTTTCAATGTGAGCTATAAATAAGATCCCTTACACGCACAATACTAATAAATATTGGAATTAGAACTAACAACTTAAATAATTATAAAAGAATTCTATTACAAATATCACGAATTACGCCCTTAACAAAGTAGGGTACACTTACACCAAAATAAACAACAATTACTTACATTTTAGGCGAGCAATACAAAACTTCAAGCCTATTTGATATTGAATTGAAAAAGCGAAGACAACGACTCCAAAAGTCCTATAAGAAGGATCCTAATTTAATAATTAAGATAAAACTAAAAGGAGCACATGCTTGAAACATAAAGCTTATACAAATCGAGCTTAAATTGAATATCATTAGTAAGCCTAAATGATTCAGACCAAGAATGATTAAATTAAAAGCATCCAAAATAACTTAAATTCTATAATTTATTAATTAAATTCTAATCTAGAATGAGAGTCTACAATCATGAATAAGGGGCACCTAAAAACATACGAAACTAGAAAGTATATTCAATTAAAATCTAAAGCCACCAATAAAATTTATAAACCCAAACAATTGCAAGTAAAAAAAAAAACTTACTTTTGATGAATGATCTCGGCCAACAGAAAAAGATGGAAGAAGATCCAACCTTGATCTAAGAGAAAGAAGGAAAACTCCACCTTGCTCAAAGAGGTATACAATGTAGAGGTCTTCTTTGATAACAACAAATGTTGATTGCGAGAAAGGAACAAAAAGGAAGAATATGGAAGAATTTTAGTGGCTGCCAGAGGGAGGAAGGCATTCGTTGGCTGCAAGAGAGGCAAGGGAAGGTTTAGAAAGATGCCCTAGGTTCCAATTCGCCTTAAAATGGTGAGAAAGGCAATGAGGCGGGAGAATCTGTCGAATATGGGAAGAAACCACGGTTTGGAAGAGATGGTGGGCAAGGTCGATTCGGTCGAAGGAGGAGTTGGGGGGTGGCTTGCATGAATAGGGGGATAGTTTGTTGTTTGCTGGTTCGCTTGAAGAAGGAATACCATATAGATTCTATCCGGTTCGGATTATAACATTCATAATGGTCTATAATAAGACAAACATCATTTATAAATTAGACTTATAATAAATCTAAATAAACTATTATTTGTCAAATTCTACCTTATAGATTTTTAAGGGATTACATTATTATTTCTTAGTCAAATATTTATAAATTTATTCCAATATTAAAATAATTTCAAAATATATTTTAATAGAAATATAAGTACAACATATTAATTAAACATATAAATTTGTAAATATAATCAAAGTAAATAAACATTCGAGAGTATTTTGGTGGTTCCTGAACTGACTGCAAATGTGAATATTATAGCTTCTCATTATCTTTATATTATCTACTATAAGAACTTCTTCATCTCCTCCATTCTCTATTTCTTGTCTCTAATTTCTTGTGATATGGGGATTATTTCAATAATTGGTTTCTTCTACTCTTTATAATTGCCATTTTTGGTGGTAGGCAAGAAAGATAAAGTATGGAGCATAAGCATGATAGTCCCCATCTTACAAAATTAAGTACTAATTGAGTTGAATAGATTATGATTAGATTGTCATCAATCTTAAAAAAATCAAGACTAAATCTTATCCAACGAGATTTCAATGAGACTTTTGTATCCAATCAACACCATTCATACCCAATTTGGACATCTAAATTTATAGCAAAACAAATCAAATTAATGTAAGCTCATGCAACATAAACGGGTTCGGACCACATAATATAAGGTATTACAACCTCTGATATTTTATTTCAAACCTTGTTTGAACCCAATTTTGAATCATTGATTCAAATCTTCTATTCGATATAGGTTTGAAGCAAAAGTTTGAACCAAGTTCAAAACTAATCTTCAAACCTTAAGTTCAAATAGAAGTTCCAACTAGGTTAAATATGGTTCGAACTTAGCTTAAATAATGTGGGTTCCTATCAAATCCGAACAAAGTTCAAACACCATGCTATGGGTTCACACTGAATTTGAAGCTAGTTTGAAATTGTGCTCGAACCCGATTGTGGCTTAAGCGTTTTTCCAGACTGCTGTGAAGTTATTTGTTTGAACATAAGGTTCAAATCTAGCATTCAAAATACTATTTAAACCTAATATCCAAGCACAACCTTCCTTTAGGTTGCAAATAAGACGTGATATCTTGACTAATCCATAATGTGTCGATATGTGTTGCCACTATTTCCACAAGTACACGAAATATCAGTGAACGAAAAGAGATATCGCTCCCCTCAATACACATCACCTTATCATTTACAGCAAATCAGACCTTAG